AAGATCCGGAATGGTGCCAAACTTTACCAAATGATCTCTTATGCCCTAGGAGACAAATATTTGTGGAGGTTGATGCAAAATTATATTGTTGTCAATATGTAATTCGCCGTATTTCGTCTCACGCGGCACAAAGAAAAATGTAATAATAAAAATAATTATCAGAAAAACCTAAGATCTTGTGTGATGCCATATTTTAGGTGTAAATGACTTCCAAAAAAATTTTAAGCCATTTCGACATAGGCGGAGTCAACGTGCTTCACAGAGGTATATAGAACCTTTCGTCGAACCCTATCTATACACCTAGGTTCTCTGAGACTCTGAGGTCCATGTGCTTTTCAGTGCCGGATTGGTCTCAAACTTTTTCTCAAGACTGCAAATGCCCTGTGTGTAGCCACCACTAAGTTTGAGATTTTTCTGAGGTTGTTTGATACTTTTTTTTATTTTAATTGAATTTCCGCGCGAATTTACTGATTAATTATACGTTGAACTGGGTCCACCCCTAAATGATCCGGAATGGTGCCAAACTTTGCCAAATGGTCTCTTATGCCCTAGGAGACATATATTTGTGGAGGTTGATGCAAAATTATATTGTTTTCAATATGTAATTCACCGTATTTCGTCTCACGCGGTACAAAGAAAAATGAACTATGGAAGCCAAAGCAAGGGTCATGAAAACTGAATTTCATATTGATCCAAAGAACATGTGATGATGAAATGTATAATTAATGCAAACTTTACATGTGATGATGAAATGTAATATTATGTTTTAGTTTACTTTACTTGTGTTGCTTGCGTGCATAGATCGAGTGAAAACTTACCGTACGCGCGCGTATACGTATATTACTTTGCAGCGAATAATGCGTATTCGAAAACCAAATTAAAACAAAAAAGAATCATCAATTGAAATAAGCAGGAAAAGAAAAAAAACCCTTTATACCGGGAATAAAGGGGCCAGCCCAAGCGCTGGCGTGGCCACCTTTTTAGTCACCAACCGGGACTAAAGGTCCACTTCTATTTTCGGCTGCTAATCCTTTATTCCCGAACTCCTATTACCGGCTGCATAACCAGAAATAAAGGTGGTCGATAGCCGAAAATAGAAGCCCTTTTTGTACCGATGAGTGATGGTTAATGTTAATTTAGCCGTGTGAGATGCAGCTGGCCCGTGAGATCCGAGTCGCCATGGGGTCCAGACCTTGGCCGCCCGGCGCCATCACTGACGGACAGAAATGGACTGCGATGAGATGGTTGACTCTGACTCGAGAGAGGCCAGGTTAGGTCTTCTGCAGCGTGAGAGTAGTGCTAGGAAAAAACATCTCGGGTCCCACAGCTAAAACGAGAATTGCTCCTCGAGTGCTGCAGTGTGCTGGAATAGCTAGCATCACCACCCCCCCCCCCCCCACCACCACACACACACACACACACATTGCTTTTCCTGTCAGCTTTTAAGTAGAGCAGCAAACGTACCAGAGCAGTACCATGAAAATCGTTTTGTATTGAATGGAACCAATTTGGGAGCGACGCAAGTAGTTGATTCGATCTCTGTTTTTGAGCATCACTGAAAGTTAGCACCATAGGCTGCAGTGGCAAGAGCGGTTCCTAAAGTTTCTCTCTTTTTTTCTAAGCATCACTCAAGCCGTCAGCCATCCCTTATATGACTAGTGGATAGGCACGTGCGTGCAGACATAAAAAAGTTCACAAAGATGAAATCACAAAAAAAAAACGAATAATAATAGTTCTATGGATATACGACAAATATTTGGTTACAAAATTATGCCGAAAGTCAATTGAAACAAGCTAATTTATTATGTTTGAGCTCATTTGTTTTGAAACCAAATAAATTATTATGTACATGCACTAATAAATGAAACAACTAAAGCATAAATATTTCAACTAAAATTAAAATTGGTGAACCATTTAAATAGGAGCATAAGGATCAGTACGTTTTACAATAAAACCTATCACCACTTCTAAAGTATAGGATGTTTGAGTTGTTTATAAAGTAAATATCTTTGTTTATAACTTACTGTAGCATTTTGGTTAAAAAAGTTAGGACAACATATTTTTTTTGGCACCACAACATCAACAAATATTTGCACATCACTTGTGCTCCTCAGTTAAGCAATAGCCGAGGAAAATAGTGTTACTGGAAACTTATAGTTGCCTTGAGTTTATAAAAAGATTAAGGAATATCATCAAGTTTATATTGTATCCTTCAGATTTGCAACATAAATATATAGCTGGGCAAAAAAAAATATCAGCATTCATTTGAGTAATTTAATACACATATAGTAGCAGAAAAAAGATTGAAAGAAAAACACAGCACAGGATGAAGAAGTCTATGCGACATTCCTGAGCACTAAGATCTAGAATGCTCATTAAGCTGCAGCAACAAGGGGAATAGCCCACCGTGGCTAAGCACCAGATCGCAACACACTTTCGGGAGTCATCACCTGCTGTCCTTAAGTCCATACAACCTGCAAAACCAACAAAAAGGTAAAGAAGAACCCAAGCATCTATCTGTACAAGTCTAATATAGAAGACAGTAACTGTCACATGTCCACATGAATCCTTACAAGTTATGGTTATAGATATTCCATTGATACAAAGAAATTTGTTCAGCTCTATGCAAACTATCAAGTTTAAGGGGAGAACATAGCAAAATAAGCAGATAGGCAGCATCCATAATTATTTATGTGCACAAATCTAATTGTCAAAACAATAGTAAACCAATGTGATCCTACTTTGGAATAACATATTTTAGATGGTACATGCCAAAAAAAAAATATTGCAGACATGGTGTTGCTAGTAATATATCATGATAGTTTTCCTCTTTCATTATGCACAATCAAGTAGCTTGTTTGATACTGATGATATCACCCTGGGAGAAATGTAGGAGCTTGATTTCTATCTATTGTTGCCCTGCACTTTCCAAAAACCTGCAAGTCTAATAAGTTAACTATTTCTGCACTTTCCAAAACCTGATGAGTTGACTATTTCATCAACATACAAGCATTATCCAAGAACTGAAACTGTTAGAGCAGTTGAAATGTACAGCTTCATTGTCTTGTTCCTATATGAAAAGTGGTCTACAGATTACCAATTTGTCACTGAAAGATTTATGGAGAAGTGGTAAGCACACTACTTTGAATATTATGAAAAATAAATTGCACGTGAAACCTATCTCATAGGGTCTTCTACTGTCACCATGTGAAACAATATATTCAGACGAAGATTACTTGTCTAAAAGTTCAACTTCATGGCCTGCAGCGTGGTTGCGGTCGACAAGTCAATCTCGCCGGTCACCAGCAGGCACGCGCGCGTGCCCACCTATGAGAGCCAGAACCTACTGCTGTGAGCTAGCGGTGAGGCGCCTGATGCTGGATGGATTCGCACCTAATAGAAGCCAAGGGTGATGTAGGAGATTGCTCGTGAGTGGAGATAGGAAATAAGATGTGTTAGAGCAAGTGCAATTAATAATTAGCTTATAGCCAAGCAAATACTGATGTAGAAGAGAGAAGAGATGAGAGAGATGTCAATAAACTTTGCATGGCAGTTTTTTTCTTGCAACACTAATTCCTTTTGAATTATGAACTATAAATGGAGAGAAGCACCAGCCAATAGTATGACATTCTTTGCTTAAAAGGAATTGATGCTGACCTATCTAGCTATTTTCTGAAATATAGTTTAAAATCAGATTAGCAAGAATCTGTGCTGTTATGACGTCCAACCTTGAGAAATAGTTCAGATTCCACATACTATACCAAGGATACTACCTAAAATGTACTTGATTTTTTACGGAGTCTTCCAAACTGACTTTCAAAGCCATGAAAAAATTCAAGCAAATACGATACCCATTGAAGTTTAGCAAACAAATTGTTAGCCTGCATTCCAAACAGGTAGGATATTCAGAGAAAGCTGCAAAATATACCTACACAACCTATGAGCTTCTACCCATTTCATGATAATGCAGGATCCTTTTGATCCGTTGCTAACAAAAGGGAAACAAAATTGGAAATCTATGACTTGATCATGAATTCATGATTCATGCACAGTGAGAATGGTAAGCTCTTGCATATCTGCTCTTCAAACACAGCTAACAAGAATTCATATTTTTTAATTCATAGTGAAACTCTTTGCACAAGAGAATAAAATATATAAGTTAATAAGTATAATAATAATAAGAAGAAAATAAATTATTCAACAATGGTTAAATATATCGAGAAGAGGAACACACCCTACGTTTTCTACCAAATTAGCGTGCGTAGGACGTTCAGTCTGCCTCGAGAAGGATTAGATCAGACTCAAATCATCATGAATGAATCTGCTCAACACAGAGAAAAGATCAGACTCAAATCATCATGAAATGAATCTGCTCAACACAGAGAAACTTCCGTCTCAAAAATCAACGGAGAAGATCCGTTCATTGGTATGGGAAGTGGGAACAATTGCCAGTACGTAGCATTTGGGATGGGATGTGGGAACACGCAGATGGAACTCACCTGAAGTGGGAAGAGCAGCCAAACCGCTCTCTCGCCCCACCCCGTAACCAGACGCCAGCCCCGCGCGCACGCACCACGGCGGCGAACCGCTCCCTCGCGACGCTGCTGATCCACCACCGCTGCCGCCACACGCCTCTCCTTCACGACTGGAGGCTGCCGGTGCAGCCCTCCGCCGCTCCTCGGCCAGAGATCTTGGTGCGCTCCTCCTATCTGACACTTTCCTTGCATGCGTTGCCCCTTCCGATCCTGTTCTGATCTTTCTCTTCTCCCCATCTGCATCTCCCACAACCCCTGGTGGTGCACGACGACCCTGCCCGCAGGAACGGTGGCCACGGCGGCGGCGGCCCCTGACGGTACCGCAGCCAGGACGGGGTGACGACGGAGAGCACGTGGAAGAAGTGCGCGAGGAACGCCCCCTGTACCCTTGGCCTTGATGGCTGTGGCATCGTCCATGGCGGGCGGCTTGAGAACGGTTGACGGGGAGACGGGATCGTGATCTGAATGAACGGAGGAAGGGGCGGCGATACTTCCACAGGGGAACGGCGCTTCGGGCGTGTGCGGGAGGGAGCGGTTGAAGGCGTGGGCCAGCCGCCTGAGGGACGTCCAGAGCAAGATCGCCTTCTACCTCCAGTTGTTCCCCATCATCAGCCACCTCAACAGCACTCGCCTCCTTGTGCAAGTTATCAACAGCGCAGCTGCTCCCAGCTCGGCCGGGGTATACTAGACACATGCTCATTATCATGCTTAAAATCATGCAAAATTGCAAACCCATGCACCAAGCCACCAACTATATGTAAGTCACATATTTTTATGCTATTTCAGGGTGTTGAAGAGGAAGTTCTAAGGTCGTTTCAGAATCTCTCAGATCTTCAGGATGAGCAAAGGTATGTCCCTCTCTGTCTTTGTCTCTGACTCTGAGGCTAGTATATAGGTGATGTACATGTTTTGATGATGTTTCAATTTTTTTGACTATACTGCTGTAGTAGGTTTCAGAATCTGAGTTTTTCTCAGTTGAGGAATGCCACAAATAACTTCTCATTAGAGAACCAAATTGAACAAGGCCCTTTGGCCACTTTATTCAAGGTAATGTTGTTTAATTTCAGTTTTATGCTCTTGTTCATGCCTTTCTTAAAGTTACAGAGAATATACTATATGATCATTCGGACTTGTTTGATTTTTGTTCAGGGTCAACTACACGGCAATGATGTCACTATAAAAAAACATTCAGTTATTTCAAGTTCAGAGCAAAAGCTACCACCAAGTATGAGTCAATTTGAGCTATGTAAAAACGAAGTCCAGATCCTGCCAAAGCTTCAGCACAAGAACATAGTGAAACTCTTGGGATTTTGTGCGGAAAGAAGCGAGAGGATCGTGGTCTACGAGCACATGGAAAATGGGAGCCTTGAGGACGTCATATTTGGCATGTTAATCTGTCTACTAATACATAATTTGTTTACATTTTTTAATTCTTGTATGCACTTACGTTTTGATAACCTAATAACTGGTCACCGCCGTTGCCAACGTCTTGCAGTGCGCGTGGGAGCAGGGTTCGTAGTTGACTGGCCTACACGCTTCCGTAAAATCCAAGGGATAGCACAGGGCGTAGATTATCTACACAATCATTCCAGGCTGCGCATCATCCACAGAGATATGAAACCAAGCAGCATTCTCTTGGATTCAGATATGATCCCAAGAATATCTAATTTTGACTTGGCCAAAGCTCTAAGTCCTGGTATACACCAAGGCACTGCTGACTGTGTTGTAGGTTCACTGTAAGACCGACCTAACTCTCTGTTTATTCATCTATTGAATCTTACAAACTGAAAACGACGCTCTGATGTAGTCTTTCTGATCATCATTTAGTGGATTTATTGCACCAGAGTACATGAAAAATGGTACATTCTCTGTAAAGACCGATGTGTACAGTACAGCTTTGGTGTCATGGTCCTTGAAATAGTCAGTAGGAAAAGATGGACTCAGCCACTTCAGAAGACGTATTACCAAGATCTACTCACATGGGTATGTAGTTTATATATCATCACTTTATGAACATTCCTCTCTGAGAAGATGTAACTAGATAGCATTTTTCTGAAAGTCACGGTAACATGCATGTATATCCTGTGTTCTTCATCAGGCCATTAACAGGACAACATGTCCCGGCAACAAAATGGTGCAGAGGCTCAAGGGCTTCATGCATCCAACGATGCACAGCGTCGCGTTCTGCGGCAGGGCAGTGCCACGGTGCCTGTCGTTGCCGACGAGGAGGAGGGTGCTGTCGATGCAGAGGGAGATTAGGAGGTGTGTTCGGGTAGCCCTGCTCTGCATCCAAGAGAAGACTGAGCGCCGACCAGACATGCCGGGGCTCACGAGGATGCTAAGCTCCAGGAAGAAGGCAGTGCCGTTTCCTCGCCGGCCAGGATACGCCACGGAGAGCCCGATGTACGCCGGCGAAAGGAGCACGACGACGCCTTGACCCTTGAGACTGCAGCCCTAGTTGATGGTTGTCTACGATTTTGGTATTATAAGTTTGAATTTCCATGGCTTCATGATTTTACATGTCTATACAGAAAAGCAAACTCGTTTGACTACACCATTCAGGCCTTGTTTAGTTCCAAACTTTGGAGGGGCTAAAAAGAAGGTAGCACTTTCGTTTGTATTTGTCAATTATTTTCTAACTATGGATTAATTAGGCTCAAAAGATTCATCTCATAAATTACAAACAAACTGTGTAATTAGTTATTTTTTTACCTACATTTAATACTCCATGCATGTGTCAAAGATTCGATGTGACAGGGGTGTGACAAGAAATCTTGTGCACTTTTTGGATTTTGGAGAGAACTAAACAAGCTCGATGTTTTAGAGACGGCCGTTTTCTGGTTTTCAGACGCGGGCCTTACCCCTGTCTGTGGGCCGGGACACAAGGCCTGAATAAATATGACATCAAACATAACAGAGACAGTCCTTGCCCCTTCCTATGCAGATGATATTTATTGAGACGGACGTCTGTGTAAGTGAAAGAAAAACAAACAAATACACAAGCTGATCAGAGGCCGCCACCGGAGATGAAACAGAGACGTATCATCGTGGACACCGATGGCCACTGAGACGAACAACTGAGCCCATTGCGCCGACTGGTAGGATGGGAGGGCCCGGCCCCTACACTGTCAGTGTCAGACACCGAGGAAGCAAACAGCAGGGGAACGGCCAATCTCCCAGCAGGCTGGAGAAGCGAGATCAAGTGTCCTTCGCCGTAGTAGGGGAGGGTGCAGCCGCCCAATGTAGCACGGCGATCGAGCAGGCGAGAGCACTGTTTATTATAACTGTAACACGAAAAGGATTGTCCAACAGAGTCGACATAAATAGGGATATATGATGAACGGATTGTACAGAAGGATATATAGGATCCAGAAGACCAAGTTAATTAGGCTCGTGGTTACGGGGTTAGCAACCAAGCAATAAACAAGAGCGTACCGTTGTTATCGCTAGAACAACAACCTACTTCTACTGACACTAAAAAAACCATTGTCTCTGACAGTAGTACATTTGGAATAAAAATGTTGATACAACCAAGTAAGTTTGTTAAGATTCATACAGCATAAAGCCCCTGCATTTGCAAGCAGAGGCAGCATGGAATTAAGATAGCAGCAGCGTGGATGCGTGATATGGCAATAGAGTCCCAATAATTCTGCACCATGTTCCATGCAGCCGTCTTCTACTCTTGTGTCTCCACTCTCGGCCTACAGTGTCATCGCACGGACAAAATATTTACTTGTCAGTACTCTGTACATGCAGAACATAACCTACTGTAAGTACAAACAAAAGAATGTAATGGATCCGTAATAAGTTTTGCATACCTTGTCGCGACCCCTTCGTAAAAGGTAAATTCTGGGTGACTCGGATGTGCGTCGGCTGCTTCCTGAAACACCTTGCTCACCAACGCAGCCTCAGACATCTCTGATCCTTTGTCGCCCAACGTCCCCACAGCCTCAGACATCTCTGATTCTTTGTTACTCGATGTTCCTGCGTCGCTATAATTGAAAACCGTAAATACAGTTATTTTCTTGAGGCTCGCCAAGTATTGGAGACCGTGAGGTGTAGCCTTGTCCCATTTATGTGAATCCAGTATCAACAGGAGCTCTCGGAGGGTAGGCATAGCTCCGTCCTCAAATGTCAGGTATGACGCCACATCACAGTTGAAATGAAAATAATGGAGAGCGTTGAACCCTGTGGTCCCACCTATGACCATCCTGCCCGTAGACATGCCTGGGATCCACAGCTCGAGGGACATGAGACAGGGCACTGCACCAATGATGTCAATATCATCCTGGGGCATCTGCATCACTCCAAGACTCAACCAACTGAGCTTTTGGAGACCTCCGATCCACCTAGGAACTCTAGAGAAGATCAGTCCGTATAGATTCAGCTGCTGGAGATTTTGGAAAGGAGGTGAAAGCAAGACCAGAGGGCATCGACTCCGACAGCTATAGAAATAGACGTCAGGGAAATTTTTTTGAGGTTACTTAGTTTCTCCAGGGAAGAAATCAAAGCATCCATCCATATAGCCATGGGCGTACCACCATCCGTGCATCTGGGCCTACTCTCCAAGAAGTTGTCTCTCTGGCAATCGAGGGCCAACTCTTCCAGCCTGTTGAGTTTGCCGAGGCCCTTAATATTATCCAGCAACCTCGTATTAAATGGCAAGATGAGATGGGATAAGCGTGGCAAGTCGACAATATCTGATGGAGTGAAGCAAACGTGTATGGAACATATTTCCAGCCTCTCCAAATGTCGTAGCCTCCAAATTTCACTAGGTAACACAATGGAACGTTCTGAACGATTCGATATCCATGGCTTGACTTCAACCTTTAAGTATCTCAGTTGAGACAATTGGCCAACACCTGTGAGGTCCATTCTCATCAGGTGCTCGGGAAATTCAAGGAAAAGCACCCGGAGAGACTTAAGCTCCAATAGCGGAGGCATCCATTTTGATGCTCCAAGCAAGACAAGAGAACGAACTTGTGATCGGCAGCAATTAGTGGCCACCTGAAATATCGAGTCATCATCTGCAACACCACTCAAGCTGACTGATAGTCGATGAATCCTGTCCTGCCGTTCTATCACCACATGTGCACTGTGCACAACACTTACAAAATTATCTTCTCTACACCTCTTTATGATTAGATCCAGCATCATATCATGTACTTTGTAGTAATAAGATTGTGGTTGAATCATGTTCCTGTTGACAAGTTCATTGAAATAGCTCTGCGCCACATCCCTTACATCTTGCCCAGGAGACTTGCTCACCACAATACGTTCTGCCACCCATAAGTCAATGAGCTCATCCCTTCGAATAATGTAGTCCTCAGGATAAATGCCGACATACAAAAAGCATGCTCTTAGATGACGTGGAAGGTGCTTATAGCTCAGGTCCAAGATATGCATCATGTCATCCAAGGAGTTTGCTGCAGATTCAGCGACTATAGAACTTTGTATATACTCCCACTTCTCTATGGGCTGGCATGCTAAAGTGCTAGCCATAGTGAGAATTGCAAGTGGCAAACCACCACACTTCTTTAGAATTCCAGATGAAACTTCTATGAACTGAGGAGGGCAAGTATCTTCGGTGCCAAAAATTCTCCCAAAGAATAACTTTCTTGAGTCCATGTCACTTAGTGGTTTCATATAATGAATGCACCCATGGTCAATGCGACATGCCTTAGCCACACCTTCAATTCTTGTAGTCACAATAAGCCTGCTTTGTTGCCTGTTTCGTGGAAAAGCACAACTAATAATATCCCAATGTTTCACTTCCCACAAATCATCAAGTATAATGAAGTACCTAAAAAAATATCCCCAACACAGCATATATAGGTTAACATTGGACATATAGAATCAAAACTGATAATTCTCGAAAGTACAACTCTTTCTGGAGGCAATGGCTAGTTAATTCTAGTCATTGTCGAAAGTACAACTAATTCTACAAAGTACATTCTAGTCACTGATAATTCTAGATAGTACAACTTTTCATACAACTAGCTCGCAAAAAAAACTTTTCATACAACTCTTCCATCAAGTACATTGATGATTCCAGAAAGGACAACTAATAATATCAAAGACAACCAAATATATGATTCTTTGTGGCCCTAAATGTATACATTAATTTTTGTGCTTATCTTTCTTCAAATTAATCATTGTAGTGTCAGGTCAATGACAAGTTAATTTAACTAGATTTCAATGAGGGAAAAAGTTAGAAGTGAGGGAAAAATTAGAATGTTAGAATATGTGTCGAATATTATGTACAAGTTTGGTTACGCTAGGACTCTGAGTTGTATTTGGTAGTTTAGGGTAGAGTTGGTGTCGGACTCTGTAACCCGGTCTCCTCATAACATATGAGAGGAGGGCTGCTGTTGTAACCATGACGACATAGCGATAGGTTCGCGGGAGTGCGGCGGCATGTTGCCGGGACCCTAGAGCGGCCGGTGTTGCTAGTATTGGGGAGGAGCGCCCGTAATCGTGCCCCGGGGATTAGGCTTCGGCTGAACCTCGTTAACAAATATCGTGCCTCTGGATTCGTCTGTGATCTTGCATGTTCGTCTCGGTAGATTCAATCGACGCTTCCGCGCGTGGAGATTAGCAAACAGCTTGCCGCTGTTGAGGGCTAATTTCTAACATTAGAATTTGACAATTGTAACCATAAAAGGGGAAAGAGGCTGATCTTTTTCATTTTTAGAATAAATTTGAAGATACTACATTAGGAAGGTAAAGAAAAAGTAGCTTAACATTACACTTTAGAAACTTTTTCACACAACAGAAATTTTATAGACTCATGTACGAACGTGTAGTTTTCCGATACATTAATGATAAATGTGTAGTTTTGCAATATTTAGTAGCAACAGATGTATTTTTCCTTAATTTGCACTCGTCTCTTATAAAAATAATGTATGAGGACTGTCACCATAATTGCTAAAATTATCAATGTTAGGTACGTAAATATGTATCGACACCAGATCAAACTAAAATTTATCCCATCCCATATTATTCCAATTCTATATTTGTGTTGGTTGTTCTCTAGTACTCATATAGCTACTAATTTGCTTTCACCAAAAGCTTTGAACAAGGAGTTAGATTTAGCTGGAGAGGTAAGGTAAGTTGCCTATTAAAGTTTAAACTAATTATGTTTAATATATCCAATGCTACATATAATAACGGATGAGTACCTCTTATCCTCCAGGTAGTCTCTCAGATTGTCGATGACCTCTTGCACTTCGCAAGGCTGAGGTGGAGACAGCACAAGTTTTGAAAGCACGGTGCTGAGTAGCTTTGATACGTCAGGCTTCTGAGAAACCGACACAAATGCCTTGCAATTGAAATGCTCTTTGACTTCACGATATACCTCATTGGCAAGTGTTGTCTTGCCTAAACCTCCAAATCCTACTATTGACATCACCTTTAGTTGTTTCTCTTCATCCTCTACCCATTTGACAAGGTCTTCCTTTTGGGTATCAATGCCTACAAGGGTTGTTGAATCCTTGTATAGTGCAGACAGGCGAGGATCAAAAGCCACTTTTGTGGTAGAACTAGAGGTGCACACATTGAGATTGTACCTATCTCGGCGTTTGCTTGCTTCGATCACACGAGTTTTGATGTCATTGATCTGGTTGGCTATGTGGTAACGATCCTTGATAGTTCTTAGAAAGCCAGAAGCCTTCTTGAGGATCCCAATTTTGTCACTAGCATCCCCAACACGGTCCATGAATTTGTCGATGCAATCTTCAATATCATAGGACATGTCTATTATATCTTTCCTCCATTTCTTGGCCTGTGGGTCGAGTTCGTCGGCAGCGTCGTCCATCTTCTCAAGGAGGGCTTTCATGTCACTAAGCTCTTCCACGAGGAAGGACACCTCCTTCCGAAGGCCCTTGAGCTTCTTGTACTTGTCGCCCATGAGAGTGGCGAGCTTTTCCAAGACAGGTTTCATAACCCCCATGGAAACACTGACAGCGATACCCGCGGCCGCCATGGATGTATCCCCCGATCTGCTTCCTCCTTCCTACTATCCCTGTGTGGCTCTGTTCTTAGTTTGGTCCTGGCAACAAAACAACGAAGGTATGGCGTGGTTGGAATATGAGAAACCGACGGAGATGTGAAAGTACGGCTTTTTCTTCCACACTGTTGAGCAGATGCAACCTTTGCTCGATCGATCACGTACGTACCTATGCCTCCTCGAGGAATTATTAAGAGGCCGGTTTTATTGAGCATAGATCTGGGTCGATTACGAGCCAGGCGCCCACACTGAGATATGGATCACCAGAGTGGTAGCCCGAGCATGAACTGGCTCCATCCACCACCAGCAGGCACATATATAGCATCGACGCAGAGAAACACAAGCAAGCTAGCATCAGACGTATTCGAAGAGAAGGAATGATCGATAATGGAAGTCCAACATAACATACAGAAAACAACTCGCCACTACTAGCAGAGAGTTTGATCGGTGTTGAATGGAAGCTAGCGTACCTAATGATGGCAGAGTATGTACTGCATCAGGTCTCTTTAGTTAGCTATACGTCCGGTCCAACAGAAAGGAAAACATAGCGACCCAGGCACAACCAATAGATGCAAATAAAACAGGCATAAGCGACGGAAGATGACGAAATCGATCTGTATCTTTATTTATTGACTAATAAATAACGGATGAATTCGAGCTTACCAAACTGCAAAGCAGAGAAAGAGGACCACCGGTCCCTTTAATTCCTTCCTACAGTACTACTGAAGCTTCCTCACTGCTCCTCTTCTCGTTGACATCACTTGAGCAGAGAGGAATAAAACGAAATATTTCTGGGAGTATGATTTGTATATATGTAGCTCAGCCTAAGGATAAATTCACCAGATTTCCCCATGCTTGCAATATCACTAAGGAGAGGGCAGCAGTGCACTGCGTCATTATCACCAGCTGGAAGGATGGTGTGGGTGACTGCTGAGTGGGGCCCGGCGACTTGACTTGGAAGACACGAGCGAGGATGGTGGTCTGGTCTCCCCGGCCGAGCCACTGTCTGCATTATTGCCTTGTGTTTTTGGAAACGCAACGCAAGGCCGCCGGTGCGTGGATGGATTTAAGGATGAAAACGGTCGAACTCGGTCGAAAAACTCCTCAACCGTTTTCTACTTTTACATTTGAAATACGAAAGCGAAAGCGAAAGCGGACAAGCCGGACACAAAAACGAATACGAACTTACGGAATATCTAGAATTTCGGAAACGAACCAATTCGAGCGGAATTATGTCGGTATGCGAAAATTTAATATGAAATACCGACCCATAGTGCATAGCATTAAACAAGTGCGCGACCAAATACATAACAAGTTCACAACTAACAAGTGCATGATCTAGTTCAAGTGCATAGCATTAAACAAATGCACGACCAAATACATAATAAGAGAGATAAGGTTGGACGCCGTCTATAAGAGAGGGCAGCTAGCCACCAGTAGAAAGAACGCAGCTACGTGGTGAACAGCCTGTAATTGGGCTGTATGACCTGTGCAGTTGGCCAAATTCGGTTTAAACCGAATTTTGAATTCGAAATATTTCAAATTAAAAGTAGAAAAGTAGAAAACGGTCGAAAAATGTGTAAACCGTTTTCTACTTTTACATTTGAAATACGAAACATCTCAAATACGAAAGCGAAAACGGTAAAATCGGACAAGAAAATACGAATTCGATCGGATTAAATATAGAAAACGATGCGGTTCGGTTCGGGATATTTCCGTTCCGTTTTCATCTTTGGACACGCAGTAATGCTCGTGGCCTCAGGACTGCTGAGAAGAGGTCGGGGTCCAAGTGGCCTACATGGCTACATTCTTCCGTGTAATCCAAGGGGTCACACACGGCGCAGTTTAGGTACACAATCACTCTAGGCTGCGCGTCATCCACAGAGATTTGAAGCCATGCAACGTTCTCTTGGATTCAGATATGAACACGAGAATATCTAGTTTTGACTGGCCAATGTTTCGAGTCCTAGCATAGAGCCATAGACCAATGCACCGCAGACTGTGTGTTGTAGGCTCAGGGTAAGACGACGGACCCAACACTTCTCTGTTATAAATTAGACAAAAGGTTTATTGTAATAGATGCCAGTTTACACCAACTCAGCACAGACTTTTCTTTCTCAACTGAATCTCGCAAACTACGGAAAACAATGCTGACGTAGTTATGGACTTTTGGTGATTATTCAGTGGATTTATTGCAACAGAGTACATGAAAAATGGTACATTCAACGTGTACAGCTTTGGTGTCAGGGTCTCTTGTTCTAGGCCAGGACCATATAATTAGAACCCTGTGGGAGCCGCGAGAGAATAAAACACACTCTGAAGACGCGAGCGAGAAACACAGGTAGAAAGTGCGAACTGTATTAGCTGAATTCCTGAAAGTCAGGCTCCCATCGACCCTGTTACACTGCCGAGCACGGTTATTTATACGTGCCCGTAGGCTTTTACAGGACGTTTTTGCCCCTTCACCTACCGCCTATTCCTGGAATATGCTGCTTCTCTCCGTCCCTTTCCCGTCTGGCCTGCAGCTACGCTCACACAGAAGCAGACACGCGGGCCCACTTGGCGGTAGCTGTCGGGGCCTTGCCGCCTGTTCCTGCAATCAAACCCACAGGTACCGAAAGCAAAAAGCTCAGAGTCATCTCGAATCAAGTGCCTTAAACCATATCAACCGCTATCGCTACGGCGAAAACGTCCAATTGGCCAGCCCTCTCGGGCGGGCTTTCGCCTTGGCGAAAGCACTCCGAGTACTCGACGGGGCGAGGCGTTGGCTCATATCTGGTCGTTTCGCTTTGGCGAAGAGCGCCTCGCCTGCACCCGGACTTGTCGGCAACTGTCAGAGCCGTTTCTTTCGCGGTAGCGAAAGTTCATTTACCTCGTCTTGAACACAAGTGCCTTTTCGCTCTCTAAAGCAAAAACAGTTTCGCTTTAGAGCGACTGTGCACTTCCCTCTGCTTAGCGGCGTGTTTCGCCGTTTAGTCTGCCTTTTCGTCAGGTGGGGGTGGCGAACCCTAGGGCCCACCCCAACAGGGTCCTTGAAATAATCAGTGGTAAAAGATGTATTGGACCACTTCAGAAAACAAATTATCGAGATCTACTCACATATGGGTATGTAGTTAAACAACTTTGTAAGTATATTATCACTCTTGAAACATTCCAGATAACATGCAGCTAGATAGCTTTTTTTTTTCTTGAATTTAAGAAGTCACGGTAACACATGCATGCATGTTGCGGGTATACATCTTGTGTTCCTCCGCCAGGCCTTCAACAGGACAACATGCTGTTGCCGCATAACTTGCCACCGTAGCTTTGCCTTCCTTTTGTTTTCTCTTCTAAATCTTGCACACAAAGTCCTGCCCGGCCGGGCTGCACTACTCGTACCACCATACTAGCATCATTGCCCACACGGCCACACCCTGAGACTCCAGCGAAGAGGTTGGCCGAGTCCTGCTTCCGTACGTACCTACTACGCCGGCTATGAACCGATGAACATGTACGTTACTGCTCCGGACTCCACTTCTCGTGCCGTACCAATCCTCCTCTCGCTGCGACTCCGCCCCCTCCATGTCGGATGAGCCATCCAGATGCGCTACACCGACGTACAAACAAAACACCGCACCGCCGCACGTACCGCTAGCCAACGTGCATATGTGCTGTCCTGATGACTTTGTTCATGCGCCGTAAACCTGTAGCTTCCTCGACGACGATGTTCGACTAGAAATGTAGCCGCCGCCGACGCTTCCGTCGACCCGCCGCAGCCATCTGTGTCCAACTCACATGCGCCGGTCATAACCATGCTCACCTTGCGTCGTATCCGCTTCGCATCACCATACGCTGCACGACACCTTTTAGATGCATAATACTTGAACCACTGAGTGATCTTCCGCGCAACCTCTAGATCGAATCCAACTATAGCTCTAGGTACCGATTGTTAGAAATTAGTCCCCCACAGCGACGAGCTGTTTGCTAATCTCTACGCGCGGAAGCGTCGATTGAATCTACTGAGACGAACATGCAAGATCACAAACGACACCAGAGGCACGATATTTGTTAACGCGAGGTTCAGCCGAAGCCTTATCCCCGGGGCACGATTACGGACGCTCCTCCCCAATACCAGCAACACCGGCCGCTCCAAAGTCCCGGCAACGTGCCACCTCCCTCCCGTGAACCTGTCGCTACATCGTCATGATTACAACAGCAGCCCCCTTCTCATATCTATGAGGAGGCCATGTTACAAAGTCCGACACCAACTCTGCCATATATACTGCCAAATACAACTAAGAGTTCTAGCATAACCAAACTCGTACATAATATTCGACACATATTCTAACACGAGTAATTAATCATCGTGTAATCTTAGTATTACTAATTAGAGGCTCCAACGGAGGCACCATATTAATTCTTATCAGACGCGCTAGAAAAAAAAGATAAATTCTAGAAATTCTCACCATAATCAGAAACATCTGGCCTTTCATTTGGTAGACTCTAATTATCTTCATCGATAATAGCCATCGGATGTAGCGTAGTTTTATTAAAAAATTACCCACCATTGCCATTATAAAAAATACATCAAGTAACCCCCTAATTTTGCATGTAAATTACCCACCGCTGTCATTACAAAAGATAATTTAAAATAACCCCCTAAATTTGCATCTAAATAACCCACCTAGACCATTATGAAACATAATTGAAAATAACACCCTAGCTTTGCGTCTAAATTACTAACTTTGTCATTATTAATTTAATCCCTAACGTTGTATCTAAATTACCCACATCTACTATGAAAGATAATTAAAAAAAATCCTAATAATTTTATATATTATCCACCAATATCATTATGAAAGATAATTCAAAATAATAATCTAAGTTGCCATTTAACATACCCATATATGGTATTGTGAACGATAATATAAGGAATTACGTTTATATTTATATGTACCTTAGCCAATTATGAAAAATAAACAAAAATCTCTGATATC